TATATATATTTAAACTATATATATATATTTAAAGTATATATGTATATATACACTTGAAAAAGACTGCAAATACACATATTTGCAGTTTTCTCTGCCCAAATATAAGAACCATCTAAAGTTTTTAGAAAAGTATTTGAAATTCTGATATCTGATAAATAAAATACCATCCACATTCTACTTGTTTGGAATCAGTTTTGCAATCTTTTAAAGAATCACCAGAGTAAGATTTATGAACCCTGGGTATCTTATGCCTTATAATGGATGAGTTCGTTGTTTTATTTATTCTGCTTGTCATAAGTAAAGATGTAATGACATTGCTACTACAAATATTTCCTTTTCAGCCCCAAGGAACCTTTAGTTAATAGCACAAAGGGTTTATGTAGGGTTCATCCACATTTTAAAAATAATATATGCTATATATACTCCTAAGCTGGAACTTAACAGTAATGCTTGGGAGTTTGCTACAGAATGTCTTCATTGGTAATGCTCCTGCTAAAGAATTTTGGTATGCCAATATGACGTATAAGATAGACTCACTTTAAACCACTTTTTACTCCATTGTGAGTATATCTGTATAAATTCATTCATGTAGGCTGAGCCTTCCCCCTAATTTCAAAGAATGATTTCAGGCCTTTCATTTCCAACTTGAGTTAGTAAAGTAAGTCCCTACCCAATGGGATTTGATTTTTCTCTCCAGTTAAGTGATCAAAGCTAAATCATCAAAGCCTAAATGTCTTACAACAGATTCTAATAAGTTCCAAGTTGGCTGTTCTTCTTAGTTTTAATCAAAGCAAAGATGACATTTGCATTTTTGTCATCTCTATTTCAAAGTGTTTTTAGAGTTAGAATCACCCTGAATGGTTCCACATCAGTAGGATCTGGATAACCAGACCCAAAATCTGTCCCTGCCAGAACAGGGGCCCATTTCTATATAAGTGATATAACACCTAAATACATAAACATTGGAATCGTGTGTCTAGATTACGTAGAACCAAGTTGACATGAAAGGAAAATGCGGATAATCTGAAGTTCTTACATGGAGTCCTTGACCCATGAAAGTGTTCTTCAGTCCTCTTGACATACCATGGGTCCTCCCATCGCATCCTTCACATCACATCTCCCCCACAGCATTTATACACACACAACCAACAGTCTTTGTGCCAGCTCCGCCTTGTTTTGTTTTTGTTTTTTGTTTTGTTTGAGACAGAGTCTCACTCTGTCACCCAGGCTGGAATGCAATGGCACAATTTCAGCTCACTGTAACTTTTGTCTCCCGGGCTCAAGTGATCCTCCCACCTCAGCCCCCTGAGTAGCTGGGATTACAGGCGTGCACCACCACACCCAGCTAATGTTTTGTATTTTTGGTAGAGATGGGATTTTGCCGTGTTGGCCAGGCTGGTCTCGAACTCCTGACCTTGGGTGATCTGTCCACCGCGGCCTCCCAAAGTGCTGGGATTACAGGCGTGAGCCACCGCATACAGCCTCTGCCTCTTTTTCTGTTTTTGTTCTGCTTACAGAGTACTCTTCCATTGCTCAGTTAGCTTTATTAACCATGAAGCATGGATGAGAGGGACAAGGAATGCAAGAGGTAGGGGTGTGTGTATGTAAGAAAGATATACATACCTACAAAACCATTACATGGTTACCCAGCCATGCTTACCATCACACTGAGAATGTACTGCTGGTCTTTGAGTGACCTAAGCCATCGTGCTCTGCTGGGTGGGAACCTGGAATAAGTATATTATCCACAGCAAATGTGCAGCATTTGGCAAATTTTAGAGTTAAGGCATTTTATTTTTAATAACTTTTTGTATAGAAATGGTGAGACTTTGGGCTAGAAAGTAATTCATATGATTTCTAAATATGCAGAAGTTTAGAAAACCTTTAGAAATATCCTCCCCCAATTATTTGAAAATTAGAAACTAAAAAAAAATTGGAAGGCTGAACACGGTGGCTCATACCTGTAATCTCAACACTTTGGGAGGCCAAGGCAGGAGGATCCCTTGAGTCCAGAAGTTTGAGACCAGCCTGGGCAAAATAGGGAGACCCTGTCTCAACAGCAACAACAAAAATTTTAATTAGCTGGACATGGTGGCATGTGCCTGTAATCCTAACTACTTCAGCTACTTCAACTACTTGTGGCTGAGGTGGGAGGATCACTGGAGCCCAGGAGCTGAAGGCTGCAGCGAGCTGTGATTGAACCACCACATTCCAGCCTGGAGTACAGAGCAAAACCTTGTCTCAAAAAAAAAAGGAAGAAAAGAAAAAATCGGAAGAATGTGCTGAAGAGTATTTGATTTGAAATAAAATCCATACACTTAAAGCACTATATATAGCCAAGATTAAATTTCCATGTTTGCTATAGATCTGTTCTCATTCTTAAGGGATTTTATCCAACTGTTTTGTTGGTAAAAAAGCAGATTCTGAATCCACCCTCAGTGATTTGTTTTGTTCAGTCTTGGCTTTTGGACCAAAATAATAACCACTTATTATTTTGCCAAGAACTTATCATTTCCACTAATATATTTCTTGACAATTGCACAATAATCTTGACTATCATGAAAATTACTTTATTTAAAATGTTAAGTATATGAAAAAGTATAAGTATATAAGACACACAGATATACAACACACACCCCACATATTTGTATGTATTTAAGCTAAAAGATGGCTATGTGTCAAAATGGGAAATCCAAATATTTGTATACTTTGAGGGAAAAGATCAAGAACATGTGTTTTAATTTGTTTTTCATTGTCAAGAGGTGAGGGATGGGAAATATTGTGAATAATGGATAATTTACCCTTACCCTCAAATTATCAACTGTATGAGTTCTTAGGAGTAGCATTTTATAAGTACTGTATATCCGTATTTACACAGGAATGTAACACAGATAACACTAACAGTGAATTTTGGGAGAAATGTTTAAAATTTCCTCCAGCAGATAATCAAGTATTTCCTTGAATTTTAATTACCGGTTCAATAGAGAAGTGCTATGAGAAGGGATTCATATTTTCTTAGAGCAGAAAGTATAAAAATGACGGCAGAATTTCCTGTTTTAACCAAGAATGAAGGAGAGCTGTGAGCCATTTGCTTCCTGAGTGGCCACATTCCAGCTGTGCAGACTGGTCATAGCACATCTGCCAATCAGAACAGGCCCTGGAGGGAAACCCTTGGATACTGAGTCTTGTTTACATGCATCATGACTCTGTTTCTCCCTTCCTTTTGTGTGCTGTGCCACTAGGAAGATTAGTGGGGAAATTTGCTACTACAGACTAAATAAACTATCAAACTAGGATCACAGCCACACCAAATGATGTTCTGGACAGAGTTTTAGCTTGACTTTAGCCACAGGTAAGAGTTGTTACTTTGTTATATGAGGATAGCTCATCTGTATTCAGTTTCTGACTTTATTTTGAGACATTTTACTTCACTTTTGTAGCGAAGCTAGCAGGCTAAAAACTGGAGAAGAACGATTGAGAAACATGATTTAAATGTGCGCTGTATTACTATGACTTTAAAATCTTAGTACTCATCAAATGAAAACATATTTTCATTTAAGGGAGGGGTAAAACCAAGTTAAAACAGAAAAGTTTTAAAAGCTGCAGTAATACTAAGTCACAGTGTAGAGAAATTGGAACCAGAAGCATGCTAACTTTGTGTATTTGGAGAGCATTACATGTAAGCAGACATGCTTTATTTGTGAATCCTTCTACTTATTAGTCTTTCAGAGAACAGTGTTTTCATGAGTACTAACTTTTTGGCTTTGAAAAACATTTCTTTTTTATTATGAACTCATTCAGAAAGAATTGTTACATACATTTAACTGTATAAATCCTATTCTTTCTAGAAGTTTTAGAGTATGTTTCATAATCCTTATTCTTCCACTAGCAATAAAATTAAGGAAAAACTAAAAGAATTCCTGTCTAATCTTTACTTTGCCATTAAATTCTATCTTGTTAGCATTAATTCAGAAGATACTATAGAAAACTGTATTTTGACAATATTTTGTAGGATTTTTTCTTAAAATCATTGCTTAGGATATGTTGTAGTTTGTATATTGCTTTATATTGTTTATTTTTGCATAACACTGAGGCCTTTTATTGCATTTTTAATTCTTAAGCATATAGTGGGGGGAAAATTGTTACTCAGATTCAAAAAAGACAAATTGTGGGTTTTGTGGTGGTTTCTCTTGTCTATGATAGTCTCAAGGTTGATAATAGCCTTTTACAGCAGTCTGGAGAAGCACTTTTGAAAAGTTCAAGCATCTGTGCTTTTATTTCTTACCCTATAGCAGGGTTTCTCCACCTCTGCACTACTGACATTTTGGATGACATAATTGTTTTGATAAAAAGGGCTTCCCTATGCATTGTAGGACTTTTAGCAACATTCCTGCTTTCTACTCATGAGAGCTCCCTTCTTCCCAGTTGTGACGATCAAAAATTTTACATAGAGAGCACATTATATCTAATTACTGGAGAAACATTCAACTTCTGAAATGTTCTGGGTGATAGATAGTTAAGGGTGAAGCTGTGCTGGTCTTAGTATTTGCAGATGTTGTAGCTGACTGCTCATTTTTCCCCTCTCCCCATCCTCTTAGAAGCTGCTGCCAACCATGATTCATGGAATGATTTTTTTGAGCTGAGTAATCTGTGGCTTTGCAGTTTCCTTGCTTTCTTTCCTTAGCTAAATCTCTTCTAGTTTTAGCAAAGTGTTTAGCACAGGAAAGACCTTTTAAAATGAGATAATACATGTAAGGATACGTTTTCCGAGTAGATGACTTTAACCAGAAAAAGTTTTTATGCCTGTTCTTCGTTGAGTCTTTTCTACCTCTGTCAGGCAAATCCTCTCAAAAGTGATGAAGAGCCTTATACTTAGGAAGACAAAACTACCTTTGAACAGTCCTTTGTGAAATCTCATGGTATAGTAGCTAGTATTTAAAAACTTCTTTCCAGAGCTTTGAAAGAACATTTTGACATGTAACCATCTTCTTTTTCCACAGATCGCAACGAACGAAATAAACCAGAACATCGTTCTTCAAGGTATGAATTTACACTATCCAATAATTCTGTATGAAGCTTTTTGTTTGAAAAATGTTGTTTGGAGGCAATATAAGTGTCCTCTTTAGAGCTACTGTCTATTGGAATCTTCTGTGGCATTCAGAGAAGCTTCATAAGGGAAATCTTGTTGATTCTCTGAATAAAAATTTCTTATAAAACTATTGACTACCTGGAAAACATGTTTTATTTTGAGAATTCCTATAAGTGACAGATATATCTTTATAACAATTATTTTACTCTCATTTCTTTATTTTTGTGACTTATTTTCCTCCCCTCCCTTTAACCAGTACTTTTTAAGTGTGTATTGCTATTTTCCTAATCATAAAACTAATATAGGCTCACTGTAGAAATTTAAAAGATATTTTAAAAATACAAAGCATGAAAAATGCAGAACAAAACAAAACCCAGACTTCCGTCCATCAGCCAGAGACGGCTGGCTATTGCTTAAATTTTGGTACATTTCTTTCTAGACTTTTAGATTATATGTGTATGTATATATTCAAATGGATTATTTTATGTTCTTGTTAGGTATTTCAAGTGGCCAGGAAGGTTGTATCCCTTAAGCTCCCAACCACACTGAGGATATTTCACTAGAATTTCTCCAACACTGAGCACATTAAAAAATCCTTGTCAAACAGAAAATTGTCTGACTTCTTGTAGGCAGGACTGACAGGCGGTATTTAATATTTTTAACCCACTACTATGAAAGATTGTAATTTTTCTAATATTAATTTCTTTTTCCATATTCTACTACCTTTTTTATATTTTATGTTATGGGACTTGTTAAAGTAATGTACTCATTAAATTGTTAATGTACCCAATCTATAAAAACTTCATTACTTAGAATAGCAATGCATTTTGCAAAAATAATCAATCAAAATGTTAGTGAGACCAAATCTGAGAGAAGAATATAGCTGGGTATTTAAAATACCGACTGACTTTTTTTCCAGGTACAATTTACATATATTAAAATTCATTCTTTTTTGTGTATAATCTTATTAGTTTTGACAGGCATGTACAATTATGTATCTACCACCATAATCATTAAACAGTTTGTAAGATTGTTTTGTTTTAGATACTTAAAAAGAATAGCAGCCAGGCATGGTGGTTCACACCTGTAATCCCAGCTACTTGGGAGGCTGAGGCAAGAGGATCACTTGAGCCCAGGAGTTCAAGACTAGCCTGGGCAACGTAGCAATACACTGTCTTATCTGTTCAAAATAAAAGTAAGGCAATGTAAGAGAAAGGACTTTGACAGCATGCTTAACTGTGGGTGACAAAAAGTTGGAAGGGCAAAAAATACTTAGCTTGATAAAACCGGGATCCCTAAGACCTTTGACATTCTGAAGATTGGACTGAACTGAGCAATATGAATTTTAATAGCCACAAATCCAAATCCTTAGAATGAAACACCAGTGGAACATAAAAAGATAAGGATGTGACTTACAAATATGTTTGAAAAAGTCTGAAGGATTTAGTTCTTCATAAATTCACCATGAATCAAAAATGTTATGTCACTATGTCTACTTCCCCCAAAAAGAGTCTGTACTGATTTGATTACAATGAAAGAAGTTTAATACTCAGTCTAAAAGTGGTAGCTCTAGACCATAGTTTTGATATTCTGTTCAATTCAGGGTCCACAAGACCTTGAAAAATTGAAGTATGCAGTGGATTGGTTATATAGATATCACATTAAAAAAAATGAAAAACATAATCCTGTGCCCCACCCCAGAGATTCTATTTAATAAGTCTGGAATGAATCCTCAAAATTTGTGTATTAAACAAGTCCCCCAGTGATTCTGATGCGTAGTCAGGTTGGGGGGGGCCACTGGTCTAGAATATAGCAGCTGAGTTGGAACAGGGAAGATGAAAAAGAAGGGAAAAGTCAAAGCTAAATCATAGAAAGACTGGTATGAGGAATTGGGAGAACTTAGCCTAGATATGGAAGTTTGGGGAAGTGCATGGGATGGAAATGATAACTGGCTTCAAACACCCAGAGGCTGGTACATGGAGGAAACTAGCAGAATTCTTCCTGATAAATGTTGTTCCCTACTAAGAGGAACCCTGGCCACTGGAGGAATAGTGGATTCTGGATCTGGGTTAGGGGAAAATACAAGATGATCCTGTACTTCTCGTTGTGATAGAAAGCTAGGAAGTGCTCAGCTAATGGGGTCATGTTGAAAAGACAGTTGGTAGCTTCAAGGGATTTTCAGTGGCCAAATTTTGGGGCAATTTGAATATCCAAAAAAATTACGATAATGGATCCCATGTAGAAGAAATGACAGAATTTAGAAAATCATTTTGTAATTCTCAAAGTAACAGATGTTGCAGGCAAAGATCATCAGTGGCAGCTAAAACTTCTATAAAAAGTTGGGAAGGCTGGGGACGGTGGCTCACACCTGTAATCCCAGCACTTTAGGAGCCCGAGGTGGGCAGATCACGAGGTCAAGAGATCAAGACCATCCTGGCTAACACGATGAAACCCCATCTCTACTAAAAATACAAAAAATTAGCTAGGCATGGTGGCACATGCCTGTAGTCCCAGCTACTCGGGAAGCTGAGGCAGGAGACTCACTTGAACCTGGGAGGCAGAGGCTGCAGTGAGCCAAGATTATGCCAGCACACTCCAGCCTGGGTGACAGAGTGAGACTCCGTCTCAAAAAAAAAAGAAAAGTTGTTAAAATATCACCCCCTAGATCAGTTTTTAATTGCAAAGGGGGAAAATTTACCTTTTCAATGGAGAGACCTAGTAGTCACCATCTAAATCAAGTGATCAAGATGTATATTATCACTCATGAGATAAGCAGTACACTTATGTAGTAGTCCCAGCAAAAAAAAAAAAAAAAAAAAAGAGAGAGAGAGAGAGACTGGGAGAACATTCCAGATTACAAGAGACCAAAGAGGCTGGGCACAGTGGCTCATGCCTGTAATCCTAGCACTTGGGAGGCCAAGGCAGGTGAATCGTTTCAGGTCAGGAATTTGAGACCAGCCTGGCCAACATGATGGCCAACCCTATCTCTACTAAAAATTAAATGGGCATGGTGGTGCATGCCTGTAATCCCAGCTCCTTATAAGGCTAAGGCAGGAGAATTGCTTGAACCCGGGAGGAGGAGGTTGCAGTGAGCCCAGATCACACCACTGCGTGCACGCGCGAGAGAGACCAAAGAGATACTGACAACCAAATCTAATATGTGAATTAAAAAAAAAAAATCTAGGACTGAAAAATCCCAACTTTAAAAAAGGTTGGGGAGGGGAGAATTTAAACATGGATTTAATTTTAAATGATATTTTATTAAATATTACTCTTTTAGGTGTAGAATAGAAATGTTATTATGCAGGAGAATGTGATTCTTAGGAGATATATGCCAAAGTATTAAGGGTGATAAAGTTTTATGTTTGCAACTAAATCTCAATTCAGGGGAAAAAACCCAGGATGAGCAATAAAGAAGCAGATATTGGAAACTATTAATAATTGGTGAATAGATGAAAAGCATATAGGTGTTATACTGTTTCTTCAGCTTTTTTGTAGACATGAAAATTTCAAAATAGAAAGAAACAATGGAGAGAATTATTGTGTGTGTGTTCCTGGGAGCCCCAGAGGACAGAATGCACCTCTGTGGGTGGAACTTGGAGGAGGATGTGTTTCTGCACAAAATGAGGAAGAATTTCCTGACAGAACTGGTCAAAAATGGAATGGGCTACTCAGTAAGGGAATACTGTCAAGGAAAAGCTAAACAAGCTAGCACTGGAAATAGAAATCAAGAAGATTCATGCATGGCTAAGTCATTATTCTAGATGGCTCCAGCTCCTTGCTCACTAATAGCCAATAAATATCTCTTTTGAGTCTCTATTCTGGCTCAGGATACAATAGAAAATAAGAAAAAGTCTCCAGGTTGATGGAGAATCCATTCTTGTGGACTTAGACTCCCAATCTCTGAGAATCTATTGATGCTAAAGTGAAGTTCCCAGTCTTTACAGTTATATTTTAGGCAGTGCTGTGGTACTCCTGAGGGTATTTGGAAAGTATTCTGAGTATTCTTTAATCTGTTGTTTATACTGTTAAGTTCTCTAGGACTGTGCTACTGGTCTTAGTAACGCTGGCACTTAATAGAGTGCCTAGCCCACAATAAACAATAAATAACTGTTTGTTGAATAAATGAATGCCAAAGGTATTTTGAGGAGAGAAAGGGAAATGTCAGTATTTTTCCCTTGCAAATCAGTAAGAACCTGACTCTCAAAAGCTCGCCCACAACTATTATTGGATATGTGTGTTACAACAGCAAGGAGTGATGCTCTATAAGAAAGGAGGAATGTTTTTTCAAAGGCCATCGTTTTCTGTCCAGGGTGCCTACTGACAATGGCGATGACCTGTTCTTCTCCTGCCATCCTCAGCTGAGCAGGGCTACCCCGCCAGGCCAGCAGTGCATCAAGCAGATTAATACCTGCTTCATCAACAGAGCAGAAAGAAGAAAATATAAACATAAAGTCATTTAATTTCTGTATGTTTTCTGGTTCTCCTCAGGCCACTCGGCAGCAAGAATGATGGGCTCAGCCCAGCAGCGATAACAGAAATGCATTTCTCTTGTTTGTGTTTTTAGAGGCCAAGCTCTCCTATAGCTTTCATAGTAAGAGGTGAATAAATCTGGGACATCTGCCTGTTCTTTCACTTCAGTACTGAAATAAGAAGGAAAACATAATTCTTGTCAAGTTAAAGGAAAAGTTTTATCACATGTAGGCCAACACTAAGATCCCAAACAAAAACAAAACAAAACAAAACACTGTTTAAGCATTTTTTAAGAGGCATCCTGGGTGTTTTTTGATTACTTTGTTTTGATGTTGATTTGCTTGCTGCAGATTGATCTATATACATGTGAGAAATATCTAAGTTGTTCTTGTGTCAGCCTTATCAGTCTAAACACACCATTTCCCAAATTGATGTCCCATAGAACTCTGTTCTGTAGGATATTAATCAGTATGCCAAG